CATGCATTATGATGATGAGTAGGATGATGGGTAGGACACGCATCATGATGATGGGTAAGATGATGGGTAGGACACGCATGTTGATGGGTAGGATGATGGGTAGGACACGCATTATGATGATGGGTAGGATGATGGGTAGGATGATGGGTAGGACACGCATTATGATAATGGGTAGGATGATGGGTAGGACACGCATCATGTTGATGGGTAGGATGATGGGTAGGATGATGGGTAGGATGATCGGTAGGATGATGGGTAGGACACACATCTTGAGGAGGGCTGCAGTCGTCCAAATGGAAGAACAAAAAAACCACACCGGCTGTGAACCCCCACATCTAGAAGCATCCATTGAGACGATGCAGCTGACATGGCCGCCATAAATGTCCAAATGACAAGACACTTTGTTGAGCTGCTGCCATTTGTGGTCGCCAGGTCGAATCAGTGGCCAGGTCGACTCGGTGGGCTCTGCCTGGTAGGATGCGTCTGGCTGAGTGTTGTACTTGTCTGGGTGATTTGTTTACCTTTCTTGTACTTCGCACTCCCATCGTGGTTTTGTTCCCGTTTGTTGTCGTCACGTTCTTACCCGGTGCCCCTGAATGGACATCTGTAAAAAAAAGAGCTTTATAGATCATCGGATTCCTCCTGCTGCAGTATAAATACTGATTCTGAACCTGGCGACGCGAGTTCGATTCCCGCTTGCGGTTCAACGCCAGCGGCAGAAGGAATCCGATGAGCTCTGAAGCTCTTTGTCACAGATGTCCAGCAGGGGCACGGGGTCAGCGAGTTCCAACAACAAACAGTACCAACAATCAATAGGCGTGCAAAGTGTAGAAAAGATAAAACTAATCGCTCAAAATAAATCTGTCAAATAGATCAGGTCTATAGCCACCACCACCACCCTGAATCGCGGTGAGTCGTTGGCCTAGGAGGCGCGTCAGAGTGGCGGTCAGTTAACCAACTTGCAACAACTCCATCAAAGCCCCTTGTGATGAAATAACACTTCGGCATTTGTGACTAATGTTATCCATAATAGAGGTTTTTTTTGGGTTAGATCGCGCGAATATAAATGTGTCATTGAACCCGCCACCACCCGACACGGACAATCAGTAAGGTTTGTCACGTATACAAAACGTCGCGTTTATTGCCACAAATGGGTAAAGCATATTCTTATTTATTTTCATTTTGATGCTGTCAAAAAGAAAAAGGTCCCATAGATAAAAAAACCCTTTCTGCCTTCGGGAGGGGAGTCTACTTGTGACGGCTTGGTGTGTGTGTGGTGAGCGTCTCATTTGCTGAACTCCTCACCCTCACCACCCTCACCACCCTCCTCACCCCAGGTGCTGCTGTCCTGCTCCCACGTCTTCCACCAGGTAAGGCAGCGGTCCTCATCGGGCAGCTGTGCTGCCCCTGCTGCCCCTCCTGCACGTGACTGCTGCCTGTAGTCCAGCGCTGCGTGGAGGTGGCGGCGGCGGCGGGGGTTGGCGGATCACGCGCAGATTCTTGCAAAACTCACTCTATTCCCACGGGTGGGCTGGGCGTCGTGAAGGAGCCATACCCCGGCTCGCCCAGGAGGAGACGGTACAGCAGAGCGAGGAATAATCTCCGTCTGTCGCGTCTGCGTGGGATAGAGCGTTGCTCCCTCGTGCGCGTGCGTTTTCTCCAGATGCTCTGATTCTGCTCCCACGTGTACAAACACTCGTCATTAATTGGCTGAAAACGTCGTAGACTACGCGCGCCTCTGTGTTTGCAGATTGCGCAGCGTTGTGAGCTGTAGTTAAATACACGCTGCTGCTATAACAACTCAATATTATTATCACCACGGTTACCCATGTGAAATGTGTTACCATGCCTCAGCTCCATTCACCACTGCTCAACGCACCACTCACCATCCCCGCCGCTCACTGCCCGCACAAACAACATCCCTCGTGCAAAAAGATAAATACAAAGTTCCCCCGTGTAGCCCCTAACGTACTGTTGGGGCAAGTGCTATTAGCTTGCGCTTATGAAGGCCGGGACGGTGCACGAAGGAGTGTGTGGCCACTACCGTGCCCGGCCGCCTTTGTCCACCCAGTGGTGATGTTTACACACCGCAGCAGGTACTCATTTGAGACTGAGTCGACCTAGGAGAGGCCCAGGACCGGTTCAGATCATCATCGCTAATGTTGGTGGCCGTAACCATGAATCGAACTCGGGTTTCCGGGTTTGTAGCGCAGTGTGCTAACTGCTGAGCCACGACTCCCCTCGCCCAACACGCGGACACCACCACCGCACCCAACGCATCTCTCCCTACCCATCACTACCACCACCGCACACCACGCATCTCACCCTACCCATCACTACCACCACCGCACACCACGCATCTCACCCTACCCATCACTACCACCACCGCACACCACGCATCTCACCCTACCCATCACTACCACCACCGCACACCACGCATCTCACCCTACCCATCACTACCACCACCGCACACCACGCATCTCACCCTACCCATCACTACCACCACCGCACACCACGCATCTCACCCTACCCATCACTACCACCACCGCCACCGCACACCACGCATCTCACCCTACCCATCACCACCGCCACCGCACACCACGCATCTCACCCTACCCATCACTACCACCACCGCCACCGCACACCACGCATCTCACCCTACCCATCACTACCACCACCGCCACCGCACACCACGCATCTCACCCTACCCATCACTACCACCACCACCACCGCACACCACGCATCTCACCCTACCCATCACTACCACCACCACCACCGCACACCACGCATCTCACCCTACCCATCACTACCACCACCACCACCGCACACCACGCATCTCACCCTACCCATCACTACCACCACCACCACCGCACACCACGCATCTCACCCTACCCATCACTACCACCACCGCCACCGCACACCACGCATCTCTCCCTACCCATCACTACCACCACCACCACCGCACCCAACGCATCTCTCCCTACCCATCACTACCACCACCGCCACCGCACACCACGCATCTCACCCTACCCATCACTACCACCACCGCCACCGCACACCACGCATCTCACCCTACCCATCACTACCACCACCACCCCCACCGCACACCACGCATCTCTCCCTACCCATCACTACCACCACCCCCACCGCACACCACGCATCTCTCCCTACCCATCGCCATAACCACCGCCACCGCACACCACGCATCTCTCCCTACCCATCACCACCACCACCGCCACCGCACACCACGCATCTCTCCCTACCCATCGCCACCACCACCCCCACCGCACACCACACATCTCTCCCTACCCATCACCACCACCACCGCCACCGCACACCACGCATCTCTCCCTACCCATCACTACCACCACCGCCACCGCACACCACGCATCTCTCCCTACCCATCGCCATCACCACCACCGCCGCACACCACGCATCTCTTCCTACCCATCGCCATCACCACCACCGCCGCACACCACGCATCTCTCCCTACCCATCGCCATCACCACCACCACCGCACACCACGCATCTCTCCCTACCCATCACTACCACCACCGCCACCGCACACCACGCATCTCTCCCTACCCATCGCCATCACCACCACCGCCGCACACCACGCATCTCTCCCTACCCATCGCCATCACCACCACCGCCGCACACCACGCATCTCTCCCTACCTATCGCCATCACCACCACCACCACCACCACCGCACACTCCATACGTATCTCACCCTACCCATCGCCATCACTACCACCATCGCACACCACGCATCTCTCCCTACCCATCGCCATCACTTCCACCACCACCGCACACTCCATACGGATCTCACCCCACTCTCCGGACCCTGACTTCCAACTCACAATGGCCGCACTATTTACTAGCGCGGCCGCCGAGTGTGATGATGCCGCGTGTGATGATGGTGTGTGATGATGACGTATGATGATGACGTGTGTGATGACACTGACTATCATGATGCTGTGTGTTGACACTGTGTGTGCCGATGCTGTGTGATGACACTGTGTGATGATACTGTTTGCGATAACGTATGTGATGATGACGTGTGTGATGATGTGTGTGATGATGACGTGGTGATGATGACGTGGTGATGATACTGAGTGTGGTGATGCTGTGTGTTGACGCAGTGTGTGATGCAGTCTAATAATGTTAATCATGTTACATATCCACCACAACCACACTGAGTCGCGGGAGGGTCCTCCCTGCTGCAAGATATTTTTTCAGCCATTTAATGACTAACTAATTATGAAACCGGAGCACCCACTTGCGGGATGGGGTAACACTCAGTACAGATGTAAACAGATGGTGATTAATCCATTTGCTCAACTGCCTTCTGGTGAGCCACCGATCCTAGCCGCTGGAGTGCTGGATTACAGGATGCGTGCATCGCCATCACCGCCCGGGCACATGTGGTGGTCCAGTCTAGTATTAGAGTCTAGTATTAGAGTCTAGTATTAGAGTCTAGTATTAAAGTCTAGTATTAGAGTATTAAAGTCTAGTATTAGAGTATTAGAGTCTAGAATTAAAGTCTAGTATTAGAGTATTAGAGTCTAGAATTAAAGTCGAGTATTAAAGTCTAGTATTAGAGTCTAGTATTAAAGTCTAGTATTAGAGTATTAAAGTCGAGTATTAGAGTATTTAAGTCTAGTATTAAAGTCTAGTATTAGAGTGTAGTATTAGAGTGTAGTATTAAAGTCTGATATTAAAGTCTAGTATTAGAGTGTAGTATTAAAGTCTGATATTAAAGTCTAGTATTAGAGTGTAGTATTAAAGTCTAATATTAAAGTCTGATATTAAAGTCTAGTATTAGAGTGTAGTATTAAAGTCTAATATTAAAGTCTAGTATTAGAGTGTAGTATTAAAGTCTAGTATTAAAGTCTAGTATTAGAGTGTAGTATTAGAGTGTAGTATTAGAGTCTAGTATTAGAGTGTAGTATTAAAGTCTAGTATTAGAGTGTAGTATTAAAGTCTAGTATTAAAGTTTAGTATTAGAGTGTAGTATTAACCAATGTGGCCTGATGGAATCGAACCGCCAACGTCCGCAACAAATGACAAACGCGCTACCACTGGTCGGCACCCCCCCCCCCCAGACACTCCACGTGAGTCACTCTCACCGCAGACCTCGCCCCCCCCCCCTCCCGTGCCCCCCAGGGATGTGTGGAGGCGCTGGAGCGAGTGGCGCGCTGCCGACGCTGCCCCGTGTGCCGCGTGTCTCCCTATGAGGCTCGCGTCGTGCACGAAGCCTCCCGCCTCTACCGCCACAAGTGTGCCACGCGGTGCGCTCAGCAATCACAGCCACAACCACCACAACCAACACAAACACCACAACCACCATAACCAACACAAACACCACAACCAACACAAACACCACAACCACCACAACCACCACACAGCAAACACAAACACCACAACCACCAAAACAACAACCACCACAACCACACAGCAAACACACAACAACACAGACGAACAATTCCTGCGACGTTAACAAAAATATCTGCTGATGCCGTCACATTGGTAGTGATGCACAAGCACAGCGCACAGCGAACCTCGGCACGCGCGGTGACGGCAATGGCCCCTCTTTTTCTTCTTCACGGCACTCGAACAAAGCTGGCTGAGTCTGGCGATCTCTGTCTCTCTCTAGGCCAGCTTAAGTCTCCCGTACATCACGTGACGCATGTGCGTGACCACTGCGTTTCTGTGTGTGACGACAGTTGCTAGTCAATACCAACAACAACACCAGCACCACCACCGACTTAATGATGTTGCTGATGATGCTGCTGCTACTCCTGCTGCTACTCACTGCTGTTCTGCCATTGATGATGATGCTCGTGATGATACGACTGCTGCTAGTGATGCTCATGATGCTCAGGATGACAATGATCATGGTATTGATACCTCCCCTGGTACTTCTCCTGACCCTTCTGATACTTCTACTACTACTGATGATGCTTCTGCTGCTGCCGAGTAGGCTGCAGGCGTGCTGGAGGGGGGTCTCTCATGATGTGTGTACTACTGCTGCTGCTGCTGCGTGTACTACTGCTGCTGGTACCGAGTAGGCTGCAGGCGTGGTGGAGGGGCGTCTCTGATGATGCGTGTACTACTGCTGCTGTTGCTACTGCTGCTGGTACCGAGTAGGCTGCAGGCGTGGTGGAGGGGCGTCTCTGATGATGTGTGTACTACTGCTGCTGTTGCTACTGCTGCTGGTACCGAGTAGGCTGCAGGCGTGGTGGAGGGGCGTCTCTGATGATGTGTGTACTACTGCTGCTGCTGTTGCTACTGCTGCTGGTACCGAGTAGGCTGCAGGCGTGGTGGAGGGGCGTCTCTGATGATGTGTGTACTACTGCTGCTGCTGTTGCTACTGCTGCTGGTACCGAGTAGGCTGCAGGCGTGGTGGAGGGGCGTCTCTGACGATGTGTGTGCTGATACTGCTGCTGCTGAGTAGGCTGCAGGCGTGGTGGAGGGGCGTCTCTGCCCGGGCGCGGTTCCGCCGCCTCCGCGAGTCTGTGCCGCCCCGCGACCCCGCGCTGCGCCGCCGCTTCTACGAGAACAAGGTGCCCTGCTGATGATGATGGTTATGCTGATGATGATGATGGTTACACTGCTGCTGCTGCTGCTGATGATGGTTATGCTGATGATGATGATGGTTACACTGCTGCTGATGATGATGATCATGGTCACGCTGCTGATGATGATGGTTACACTGATCCTGATGATGGTTATGCTGTTACTGATGATGATGGTTATACTGCTGCTGATGATGATTATGCTGCTGCTGCTGATGATGATTATGCTGCTACTGATGATGACGGTGATGATGATGTTGATAATAACCATTTATTTTTATATGGCGACTGTGTGACCCCGCGACCCCACGACCGTGTGACCCCACGACCGTGTGACCCCGCGATTGCGTGACCTCACGACCATGTAACCCCACGATCATGTGATCCTGTGACCATGTGATCCCACCACTTTGTGACCCCACGACCTGCGACCCTGTGACCCTGTGACCCCGCAAGCTGCTGGTGCTGGGCGAGCGTCTGGTTCGTGCGTGCGACTCTGGCGTGGACGCCTTCCTGCGGGAGATGGAGGTGGAGCGCGAGCGGCGAGCACAGCAGAGCGAGGGGGCGAGCGCCAGCTGGGACTGGGAGCGCATCGAGGCCACGGTGCTCACACAGAACTCCCCCTCACACACAAACACCGTCACACACACACAGTCACACACACACAGTCACACACACACAGTCACACACACACACAGTCACACACACACAGTCACACACACAGTCACACACACACACAGTCACACACACACAGTCACACACACACACACAGTCACACACAACAACAACAACAACCGCCATTCGCCACTAAGTGGCGGTGACGTCACCACGATGCTTGTGCCAGGCCAAGTGCACCTTGAGGCCACGTGAAGTGTCGAAAGCCCGCTGGCAGGAGGTCACGGGGCAGACCCAGCAGGTGCCACTGGTCGACTGACCGAGATGACCGAGATGACTGGCTGATGCACCACCTGTGCCCCCTACTGTGCCAACTTGCTGTGCTTTAGCCACCCGGCGCTCCGCTCGTTGTTGTGAGCGTCGCTCCTCCGCCCTCCGTTGTTGTTGGAGGGCGACTGCCTCCAACTGCCCAGTAGCTTCCTTCACGAGCCTCCTCCACTGAGGCCGATCTTGACACCGCTGGTACCAGTCATCGGCAAGTCCACTCAGCTCCACGTCCTCCTGTACCACATCACTCCATCTCTTCTCCAGCAAGTGCCGCGCCCGTCTAGCCCCCTCGATCCGGCCGAACAAAAGCTGTTTAGGCACGCGGTGGCTGGGCATGCGGGCTACATGACCCAGCCAACGCAGCCTTGCCTGCCGGAGGAGCTCACTGATGGGACCCCGCCCAGACCCTTCAAGGATCCGTGAGCTCCCCACACAATCCAGCCCGGCCAAACCCAGGATGGATCGTAGGCAGGCCAGCCCAAATGTTTCCAACCGGCGAAGATGCTCCACCAGGGGGGTCCACGTCTCGCAAGCGTAGAGAAGGGAGGGAATGACCGTGGCCGAGAAGACCTGAAGCTTCGTGCGGAGCGACAGACCAGGTAGCTTCCACACAGCGTTACGCAACCGATGAAAAGATATTGCCGCTCGACTGATTCGGAGTGAGACCTCTGCTGATAGACTGGAGCCGGTCATAAGCATACTGCCCAGGTATGGGAAACTCTCCACTCTCTCCACAACTGCCCCATCACCAATTGGGAGTTGTGGGGGTGGAGTGTCCGATGGTACAAAATACCCAGGCAGGTGCTTGGTTTTGGTGGGGCTGATGGTAAGGCCCCACCTCTTAGTGGCACGCTCCAGTCTCAGCAGCAGCGCCTCCAACTCCTCTTCTGAATGAGCAGCTATTACCAAATCATCGGCATACATAACGTGGTTGACCAATAGGGAGCCATCCCTTGATCGCACCCGGGCGTCGATCAGCCTCCCATTATATCTGTACCAAACGGAAATTCCCCCGGTACAGCTATTGAAGGCTTCACGAACTACGCGGTCAAAATAGATGTTAAATAATGTGGGAGCCAGAGGACATCCCTGTCGCACCCCAAGGTGTACAGAGAAAGGCTCCGACTCCCGGCCACGTAGTTTTACCCGGGCCCGCTCACCATCATGAAGGTCCTTAATGATCGTGAGCAGAGGGTCAGGGACTCCGAAAGCACGAAGAACAACCCAGAGTCCAGTCCTACTGATGGTATCATAGGCCTTGACCAGGTCAATAAAGCAGAGATGTAGGTCTTTTTGGAATTCCCTACACCTCTGCTGTAGCAGACGGACAGAAAATATGGCATCCGTGCAGGACCGCCCCCTCCTGAAACCGCACTGGGGCTCCGCAAGCCCCTCTCCAGCGTGCCTAGCAAGGCGATGTTGAATAATCCTTGCCAGGACCTTACCCGGCACACTGAGGAGTGAGATGCCCCTGTAGTTGCTACAGTCTGTGCGGTCCCCCCTCTTAAAGAGGGGGACCACCAGGGCACCCCTCCAGCCCCGCGGAACCCGCCCAGTGGCCCAGACCGCTGTTATGATGTCATATAGGGCAGTCCGTGCACAAACGCCACCCTCCCCCAGCATTTCGCTTGGGAGATCATCTCTGCCCGGTGCCTTCCCTGGTCTCAGACTCCGGATCGCCCTCAGTACTTCCTCAACAGCTGGAACCTCAGCCAGCCACTCACAGGGGGTGACCTCTTCCAACACACAAAGATCAAAGATCTTTGTGTGTTGGAAGAGGTCAGTACTTCCTCAACAGCTGGAACCTCAGCCAGCCACTCACAGGGGGTGACCTCTTCCAACACACACACACAGTCACACACACACACAGTCACACACACACAGTCACACACACACAGTCACACACACAGTCACACACACACAGTCACACACACACAGTCACACACACAGTCACACACACACAGTCACACACACCGTCACACATTCACACACCGTCACACATTCACACACCATCACACATTCACACACACACACCCTGTCACACACACACCCTGTCACACACACACCCTGTCACACACACACCCTGTCACACACACACCCTGTCACACACACCGTCACACACACACCCTGTCACACACACACCCTGTCACACACACACCCCCTCACACACACACCCTGTCACACACACAGTCACACACACCCTGTCACACACACACCCTGTCACACACAAACCCTGTCACACAGTACTCCCCCTCACACACACAGTCACACATTCACACAGTACTCCCCCTCACACACACACCCCGTCACAAACCCCCTCACACAAACACACCATCACACATCCCGTCACACCGTCACACTGTCACACACACCATCACACAATCATAGAGAAGGGAGGGAATGACCGTGGCCGAGAAGACCCGAAACTTTGCGTGGAGCGTGAGACCAGGTAGCTTCCACACAGCATTACAGAGCCTATGAAAAGATATACTGCTGCTCGACTGATTCGGAGTGAGACAGCTGCTGTCAAACTGTAGCCGATAATGAGCACACTGCCCAGGTATGGAAAACTCTCCACTCTCTCCACAGCTACCCCATCTGTCACACACACTGTCACACCGTCACATAAACCATCACACACAGTCACACCATCACACAGTCACACCGTCACACACACAGTTACACACAGAGCACACTGTCACACCCAATGAATACCTGCTAATACCAATACCTAAGTGACGGTGATGTCACCACAGCGCCTGTGCCAGGCCAGGTGCACTTTGAGGCCACGTGAAGTGTTGAAGGCTAACAGGAAGTCACGGCACAGGCCCAGGTGCCATGGGTTGGCTGACTGAGATGACCAGTAGATGTACCAGCTGTACCCCCTACTGTGCCAACTCGCTGCCGTTTAGCCACCCGGCACTCCCATCGTTATTGTGAGCGTCGCTCCTCTACCCTCCGATGTTGTTGGAGGGCAGCCTCCAACTGCCCAGTAGCGTCCTTCACGAGCTTCCGCCACAGAGGCCGATCTCGACACTGCTGGTACCAGTCATCAGTTCATGTTTCTCCAGCCCGTGCTATGCCCATTTTGCCCCTCTCTCCAGCCAAACAGAAGCTGCTTGGGCATGTGGTGGGCTACATGGCCCAGCCAATGCAGACTTGCCTGCTGGAGAGCACATCAATGGGACTGTGTCCAGATCTTTCAAGGATCTGTGAGCTCCTCACACAATCCAGTCTGGTTAAACCCAGGATAGATCGTAGGCAGGCCAACCTGAATCTTTTAAACCGGTGCAGATGCTCATTTAAAGGGCTCCACGTTATTAGAGGAGGGCATAAATGTGGCCAGGTAGCTTCCACACAGCGTTACGCAGCTGATAAAAAGTTAATGCTGCTTGATTTATTTGGAGTGAGACTTCCGCTATCAAACTGGAGCTCATTATGTATGTATGGTGAACTTGTTTCGCACCGTACGGAGCCAGCTTTGCTAATCGGAGGTGCGGAAATCACACCGCCCAGATACGGAAACTTCTCCACTCTGTCCCCAACTGCTCCATCACTCGTGGCGAGTGGCGGGGGTGGAGTGTTTGATGACACCAAATACTCAGACACGTGCTTTGATTTCTGTTTTGATAGTCATGCCCCATCTCTTAGTGGCATGCTCCAGGTTCAACAATTGCATCTCCAACTCCTTCTCAGAGTAAGCAGCAATTACCAGATCATACGCATACATTACAAATTTGACCAATATGGAGCCATCCCTCGACTGCACTTGGGCATCGATCAGCCTGCCATTGTATCTGTACTGGATAGAAACTCCACTGGTACAGCCAGGAAAAGGTTCTAGAAATAAGTGGTCAAAAGAAGATGTTAAATAGTGGTTGGGCCAGAGGACATCCCTGTCTACACCCACATGGGAACCAAAAATGCTCCGACTCCTTGCCACACAGCTTTACCTGGGCCTGCTTACCTTGATGAAGGTCTTTAATGATTGTTAGCAGACGGTCAGGGACTCTCAAAGCACGAACAACAGCTCAGAGCCCTGGCCTATTAATTGGAATCATAGGCCTTGACCAGGTCAGTAATACAAAGATGTTACTTCCTGTTAAAATCCCCGACACCTCTGCTGTAACAGACGGACCGAGAAAATAGGTGTCCGTGCAGAACCGCCCCAGTCTGAAATCACAAAACTCTCCTCAGTGCGCCTGGCAATGCGACGTTGAATAACCATCGCCAGGACCTGTTGCGGCCTCACAGAGGAGGGAGATACCCCGGTAGTCTCAGGATCTGGATCACTCTTTGTATCTCCTCTGCAGATGGCACAGTCCACCACGCATAGGGACTGTAGCCCCAGCAGGTTCACAAACCTTCCTTGCCCCATGATGATGTTTGATCTGAGCGGTTTCCCCTCTCCCAAAACCTCAACACAAACGCTCAGCAAACCTACAAACTTGTTCCTGGGGTCAGAGATCAGGTAATTGTTCTTTCCCTTCAGGATGGTTATAGATGTGCTGCTGAGAGATACTGTATTTTTTTATTGAATCAAAGAGTGATTTGTGATCGCGTGCTACATGCACACACAACTACAACCACCGTCGTTCACCACTAAGTGGCGGTGACTTCACCATGGGGCTTGTGCCATACTCTGTGCATTTGGAGGCCACGTGAAGTGTCGAAGGCCCGCTGGAAGGAGGTCATGTAACAGACCCAGGTACCATGCGTTGATTGATTGAGATGCCTGGCAGGTGCACCACCTGTGCTCCTCCCTGTGCTAACTTTTAGCGTTTTAGTTCTGCTCATTGTTGTGAGCGTCGCTCATCTGCCCTCCGTTGTTGGTGGAGGGCGGCTGCCTCAAACTGCCCAGCAGCGTCCTTCACGAAGACAAAGACCTCCCGTGTAGCCTTTAACAGACTTTTGGGGCAAGTGCTGCTAGCGAGTTGCACCTATGAAGGCCAGCACAGCACATGAGGGGGTGGGTGGCCAGTACCAGGCCCCACCACCTTTGTCTCCCTAGTGGCGAAATTTCCATACCACACTAGGTACTAATTTGAGGCTGAGTCGACCTAGGGGAGGCCCAGGACCGGCTCAGCTAATCGCCACTGGTGTTGGCCGTGAGCAGGAATCGAACTCGTGTCGTCAGGTGTGGAGCACAGTAACACGCACGAAGACAGTGACAAAATGTAATAACTTTGTACCCATCCCATAAACAGCTTGGTTTAACATTTCAGCAGCATTAGTTCAACACAAAACTCTCGTGTCTTCATCAGACGAGTCGGGCTGTGTGCTCGATCCAAGGAAGACTTCAACCAATGTGTCACAAAAACTCCTCACCTCTGTGTGGAGTTGAGACGTGAAGTAGGCGAATTGTACCTGCTTAGTTATCTCGTTACATCATTCTCCACAGCGATGCTGCGGATTATTGAGTATTTCGCATAACACCGTGCACCACCCGCAGCGCGCGGCACGGGGAGGGGAGTAGAGTGGACGGTGGGGGGATGAGGGAGGGGGCAGATAAAGAATGCGTGGGGAGTGATAGGGAAGCATACTCTTCAACCCATACTGTTTACCCAGATTCTGTACAGGAAAATTTAGTTTTCAGGTCCATACGGCGTACAGCCGTTTCAATATGGGCAACATGCCTATTTGTTTCTCCCTTGTAATGGGAGTTTGTAGGTTGAACGTTGAGATTTATAAGGGCACGGGGTGATCATTAAGGTCTGAATGTGTCTGTAATAAGGTAGGGCACTGATAAGGGATTAGCAGGTATGGGGAATGGATGGGAAAAGAGCGGAGGAAGGGGAGCGCAGGGTGTCGGGAGAGGGGGGGGGCGAGGAGGATGCTGCTGCATCAGGGACTCGACGCTGCTGCCGGCCGAGGGGGGAGTGGAGTCTGTTTTTCACAGGGGCCAGTGGGAGGGAGACGGGTTCCCTTGGGGTGGCCACACGGGAGTCACGTGGTGCACGGGCGGCTTGAGCTGATTCGCACACAGATGAAGGCACGGGCATGGCTCGGTTTACGCCCAGGATGCCTTCCTGAAAACCAGAACGTAAAGAGAAAGTACTTGAATTGAAGCAAGGAGATGGGATGGTGGATCGTAGCGTGGTGCGGTACCTAAACAGAAGATGCTCAGTAACCCATTGCGCATTTGTACCGTACGACCATCGCTGTGAAAAGTGCACGTTATTGATATATTAAAATGTATTATACTATACGTGGTTATTATTTTATAATATATAAAAAATTCCACTTGTATAAACATAGTCGCCAGAATACGGTATGTGGGAAAGCCAGGCTGGGACGGTGACGCGCGAGCGCCACCTGGCGTGTGTGGACGTCGCGTGCAGCGTCAACACAGCCGGTGAGACTCGGCTCGACAGAGGGCTGCTGCTGCTGTCTCTGGTGTAGACCAGTTTCAAAGACAATGCCATATATTATCCATTTAACACGTGGGCTTTCGCGACAAATATCCATAATACAGGTTTTTTTGGGTCAGATCGCGTAAATATAAATGTGTCGTTAAACCCGCCACCACCCAACACAGCCAATTAGAAAGGTTTTGTGACGTACACAGAACGTGCCAATTCGTCACTAGTACTGCACACCGGTGTGTTAGAGAGCAAAGCCACACCATTTACAATCCGAGTACTATGTTTCGCCAGTAATTACATCTGGCTTCATCAGGCGACAGTCAGATTTGTGGCTGTCGCCTGACAGCCACAAGATGAATGGATATTCAGACGACACAATCCGTAAAGCAATCACCCCAACCGTTGGGAAAGAACCATCTGAGGACCCAATCAAAACCCATAACCTTGCCATACATAGCAGGAGTCACCAAAATCATGAGCAAACACAAAATCCAGGTTCGATTTAACACAGTACATAAAATTCGTGATCTCATCCCATCTGTGAAGGATGTGATCCCTGACATGCAATACCCCGGCGTCTCCAAACTAAGCTGTGTCTGCGGCAGTAGTTACATTGGGGAAACTAAGCGACATGTCTCGGACCGTGTTCGTGAACATAAGGCAGATCTGAAACACGGTAGGACCAATACCTCGGCCGTGGCTGATCATTATTTTAATGCGGTGGGCTCACACGAAATAGATTTATCCAATACGAAGGTACTTTGCAAACCAACTGGCTATCAACAAGATTCGTTCATGAAGCCATCCAGATATATAGACACAATTTCAACCGAGAAGATGGGTATAAACTGAGCAATCATTAGAAGGACGTTATTAACCAGTTTAAGTCAAAACTGGCTGTGATGTTTCCACTCCGTCTTCGACGCCGCTCTCCGATCTCACATTAACACACCAGCTGGCAAGCACGTGGCCCTCACTCTTCCATTCCTCGCCTCTCTCAGGCACTGGCGCGGGACCCACGCCTCTGCCCCATCTGCCTCACCTCGCTGTGGACGCCGGCGCAGGAGGCTCCGGCTGGTGCCCGGCCTCTCCGGCAGCATGGCGGTGTCGGGGCCACCAAGGGGAGGGGCCGGGGGAGCGCAGCTCCCCAAAGAGGGGGGGCGGCGGTCACGGAGAGACGGGAACAGAAGCCGGGGACGCGGAGAGGGGCGGCGAGGGCCGCTGCGGCCCCGATCCCGGCGTGCCCCCCGGCGTGCCCCCCGGCGCGCCCCCCGGCGCTGACCCCAGCGGGAGCGCCCCCGGTGCTCCTGTCGTGTGCCCACGTGTACCACGACGCGTGCCTCGAGGCGCTGGAGGGGTTCTCTGTGGGAGTCCTGCGCCTCTGCCCTTTGTGCCGCGCTCCCTACAGCAAGAGGCTCCTGCGGGACCCCCGTGAAGGGAGGCAGGGGGGGTTGCTACCACGGGACCCCCCCCCCTCGATGATGCAGTGACCACACTCATCCCGCATCAAATCATGCAATCAGTGGCAGAGTGAGCGGCTCGCAGGTAGCAGCCGCTAAGGCTGTGAGTTTAAATCTGTTCGGGGGCATAGGGGGGGGGGCGTTTGACTCGGTCCAACTGCACCCAGGAGGTCACGCTCGTCCACCCAGGGGGGTCATCCTCGTCCACCCAGGGGGAGAGAGCCTCAAGTCGTCCCGCCTGGCGATCCACATCCACCCATGCTCATCTTCATGCTCATCTTCCAGATAATCATCATCTCCATCATCAGCATCACAATCTTGATTTATCCTGGAAGATTTCCGATGCGTTTGAAGATCTTTTTTCACAGATGTCCAATAGGGGTTCGCGGGTCAGCGAGAAAAAGTAATTAAGTCGCTAAAAATAAATTAATATGTTCGTTCGTTTCTCAATCCGCTTGTCATGGTGAGGGTCGTGGTGGCAGCGTGTTGAGTAGTCGCGGTCCACACCTCCCTCTCCCTGGCGACAGACTCCAGCTGTTCCGTGGGGAATTCCCAGGCCAGCAGAGCGACATAGTCCCGCCAGCGTGTCCTGGGCCCATTCTCAACACCAAATGCAAGCTTGGGACAAGGCAGCACACCAACAACAGTCCCTCAATTTCATTGCACGTTAAACTTGAACTAACGGTGCACGGGTGAGATTCAACATTACAAATCACATTTGCAAGCGTGGCTGTATCGGTATCATTAATCCATCACCGTAGAGTTGACATCATTCGGCTCAATCCAACAACATCGGCATCGCTTTAGCGTCATCATCATCTCAACCGGATCATAATTATAATCAGGAGCAAGTCATCGGGGTATGATGGCAGTACAGCAAGTGGGTACATTTCCATCTACACAGAGATGACCCCCACTTCACACTTGGGAGGTTTCTCTGGGCGCTCCGGTTCCCTCCCAGCTGCATAAACCCTCGTCCACGGAGCTGGCCAAACATGCCAGCACAGGGCCCCAGAGCTTGGGCAATTGTTGGTAGCGTCAGTCCGGATCCGCCTTCCTCCTCACTTGTCGTGTCCCACGCCTCCGAACCATTCTCTCTCTCAAAGTGAACCAATACTGTGCACGCTAGTTTCTAAATTACTATCAAGATCGACTCAGCCTCATCATCGTCGTCGTTATCATCACCGTCTCTCCAGGGTGGGTAAAGTGAGCACCACCACGAGAGGCTGAATCGCTCGGTGAAGAGAAGTCAACGTTGGCTGGTGTCGCGTTCATTAGACCTTGACTCGGCCTCGCCAAAGTAATGTGGATCTTGTTCCACTGGCTCAGGACCGCTCAGTATATGTAAGTCTGTGGGCCTCGATGTAAGTTTATGAGTGTCTTATGTAAGTCTATGGGTCTCGATGTGAGTCTAAGTCTTATGGCCAACACCAGTGACAATTATTTGAATCGGTCCTGGGCCTCCCCTAGGTCGACTCAGCCTAAAATGAGTACTTGGTGCGGTGTGTAAACATCGCCACTGGGGAGACAAAGGCGGTCAGGCGTGGTGCTGGCCACCCAAGCCCTCATGTACCGTGCCGGCCTTCATCGTTACTCGCTAACAGTATTTGACCATACAGTCTGCTAAGGCTATCCAGGGATCTTTGTATTGTGTGTCTATGCAAGTCTGCGGGTGTTTGTTAATAGACTATTTCCAGGTGAAATGCGGCAACGCCTCGACATCCGCCAGGGTGCAATTCCTGAAAATCTGCGCGAAAGTAGAATTGGCGAACGTTGGTGCGATGTTTATGTCTGGGGAGAGGGGTGGGGGGTTGAGGCCCGCGTCCGACTGAACATACGGGAGAAAATGAAAATGTTTGGTAGCATTAATCCTGCCTTGTACACATAAATATAACATCCATACACTTATTTAAAGTGTGCATAATACTAATTAGTAATATGACAAAACACATCAATAAAGTACAGTGTGAATCTAGAAATAGTTTTTTACCGATGTTAATTCTGGGGGCGTGATGATGATTCTACTCTGGCGGTCATCGTCACCTTTTGCCCCACACTTACCCAGATCGCCCTCTCGTGTGTCTCTTCGTTACCCCTTGCCCCACACTTACCCAGATCGCCCTCTCGTGTGTCTCTTTGTTACCCCTAGCCCCACACTTACCCAGATCGCCCTCTCGTGTGTCTCTTTGTTACCCCTTACCCCCACACTTACCCAGATCGCCCTATCGTGGGTGTCTTCGTTACCCCTTGCCCCACACTTACCCAGATCGCCCTCTCGTGTGTCTCTTTGTTACCCCTAGCCCCACACTTACCCAGATCGCCATCTCGTGTGTCTCTTCGTTACCCCTTGCCCCCACACCCAGATCTCCCTCTCGTGTGCCTCTTCGTTACCCCTTGCCCCACACTTACCCAGATCTCCCTCTCGTGTGTCTCTTTGTTACCCCTAGCCCCACACTTACCCAGATCGCCATCTCGTGTGTCTCTTCGTTACCCCTTGCTTCACACTTACCCAGATCTCCCTCTCGTGTGCCTCTTCGTTACCCCTAGCCCCACACTTACCCAGATCGCCCTCTCGTGTGTCTCCACAAATCCCACTTCACTCGTCTACCACGCAATGGCACCAACAGCAGACACCGCACCATCACCACCAGCAGGTCTAAACTAAAACTAAACTACGTGTTTCTTTTACCAGGTGAGGCAACACTGCGCTATATAATTGTATCTCTTTTCCAGAAGCGATCTGGCCACAAATGATAGCTCAACGAAGCAGTGGCGTATGACGTGGACATCTATAGCAGGCGAATACTCTAAACGCGCGATGTTTATTCTAAATGTGGAGGTGAAAACCCGTGGGACCCGGAGAAAAATTCACACGACCACGGGCAGAACACGCAAACTCCAAATATACAGCAGCAGGCATCGTCAGGGTCGTGATCGGACACACGCGCTCCTGTAGACCAGTCGAGGTATTTAACATCCTAGCCACCGCAGCGTACAAGTCTATCCAACAACTCCACCGTTTGAGCTAAACCCATCACCTCTGCCCTGTCGTACCCTTCGCCTCCTCCACTCACTTAGACTCCACGATCGAAACTCACAAAAAAACACCGCAGGGCAAATGGGCGGATTGGTGGAACACTGTCGCAGCATGACACACCGGTCCTCGTTAAACGGTCTAAACTCAAACTTTGAACCGCCAAATCTGTGTGTCGGTCTTGGATTGAGTGAGCCGCAGACTCCACAACAGAAGTCGCCTTAAATTGAGCGGCTGCTGTCTCATTGGAATGTGCGGGTGAGTGTAAGGGTGAGTGTAAGGGTGAGTGTCCAGGGTGAGTGTCGTACTCACGTGCCCCCCCCCCCCACGCGGCCATCGCCGCCGCTGTCGCGCCCAACAGCAGCGCGCGGATTAACGCGCCCTGAGTGATGACTCCCTGGGGGGCCGGGGGTGCAGGGTGGGGGGTAGACACAGACAGAGGCTCGTGTCACGCCGTGTCTAATATGGACACGGTCATCAGAATACCGCGTCTCGCGTGGACTCGCACCACAGGGACCCACGTCTCGTGTGGACTCACACCACTGGGACCCACGTCTCGTGTGGACTCACGTCTCGTGTGGACTCACACCACTGGGACCCACGTCTCGTGTGGACTCACACCACTGGGACCCACGTCTCGTGTGGACTCACACCACTGGGACCCACGTATCGTGTGGACTCACACCACTGGGACCCACGTCTCGTGTGGACTCACACCACTGGGACCCACGTCTCGTGTGGACTCACACCACAGGGACTCACACCACAGAGACCCGCGTCTTCAGAGGAAGCGTCCTTGTCGATAGCGTCTGAAAGTTCACCACCATTGAATCGGGCGGGCCTGGCTCTGCTGATGAGACACTGATTGTCGAGTCCCGTCCAGAGCGTTGCTTGTGCTCAATCAATCTGGGAATAATACGCTCCCAGTGTGTGTTGGTGTAGAATATTCCTGTTGTGTGGACTGATGGATACATCCTGAAGCGTTCAAAATTGCGCTCAAAGGCAAAAATAAAATAAAAACCCCGTATAGCCTGAACAGACTGTTGGGGAAAGTGCTGTTAGCGAGCACCTATGAAGGCCGGGACGGTATACGAGGGGGTGGGTGGCCAGCACCACGCCCGACCGCCTTTGTCTCCACAGTGGCGATGTTTACACAGAGCACCAGGTACTCATTTGAAGCTGAGTCGACCTAGTGAAGGCACAGGACCGGTTCAGATAATCGTCACCGGTGTTGATCGTGAGCAGGAATCGGACTCGGGTCGCCAGGTTCGCAGTGGAGCGCGCTAACCATTACACTACCGCTCCCCACACGCCTGCACACACAGTCCTACACACACACACGCCTACACACACAGTCCTACACACAAACACCTACACACAGCAACACCGCCATTCGCCACTAAGTGGTGGTGACGTCACCACGACGCTTGTGCCGGGCTAGGTGCACGTTGAGGACTCGTGAAGTGTCGAACGCCCGCTGGCAGGAGGTCAAGGGGCAGACCCAGGTGCCATGGGTCGAGTGACTGAGATGATTGGCTGATGCACCACCTGTGTCCCCTACTGTGCCAACTTGCTGTGCTTTAGCCACCCGGCGCTCCGCTCGTTGTTGTGAACGTCGCTCCTCCGCCCTCCGTTATTGTGGAGGGCGACTGCCTCCAACTGACCAGCAGCGTCCTTCACGAGCCTCCTTCACAGAGGCCGATCTTGACATCGCTGGTACCAGTCATCGGCAAGTCCACTCAGCTCCACGTCCTCCTGTACCACATCACTCCATCTCTTCTCTAGCCCGTGTCGCGCCCGTTTAGCCCCCTCGATCCGGTAGAACAAAAGCTGTTTAGGCATGCGGTGGCTGGCATGCGGGCTACATGACCCAGCCAACTCAGCCTTGCCTGCCGGAGGAGCTCACCGATGGGACTTTTCCAGATCTTTCAAGGATTTGTGAGTTCCTCACACAATCCAGCCTGGTTAAACCCATGATAGATCGTAGGCAGGCCAGCCTAAATGTTTCTAACCAGCGACGATGCTCCATTACACACACACCTACACACATCACGCATCTACACACACACGAACATACCACACACCTATTCACACATACACACATACACACACCTACACACACACACACCTACACACACACCTACAGACACACACCTACACACACACCTACAGACACACCTACACACACACACACTTACAAATACACCTACACACACACACCTACAAACACACCTACACACACACATCTACACACACGCCACACACCTACACACACACACATCCACACACAACCACACCTACACACACCTACACACACCTACACACACCTACACACACACACACCTACACACACACCTACACACACCTACACACACACCTACACACATACACCTACACACATACACC